ATTCTACCAATCACTCCTCTTTCCTCCTGCCCCCACCCTCCTATAACCACAAACTTCTGCCCCACATTCTAATACTGCATTTTTAAAACTATTCCAACCCTCTTCAACCCCCCCACTACTCATACTTGCACCAGTCCACCTTTCTGCCAATAGTTGCTTATATCTCACCCGAACTTCCTCCTCCCGTAGTTTATACACTCTCACCTCCCTCTTACTTGTTGTTGCCATTTTCCTCTTTTCCCATCTACCTCTTACTCTAACTGTAGCTACAAGTAAATAATGATTCGATATATCAGTTGCCCTCTATAAACCTGTACATCCTGGAGCCTACCCATCAACCTTTTATCCACCAATACATAATCTAACAAACTACTTTCATTATGTGCTATATCATACCTTGTATATTTATTTATCCTCTTCTTCATAAAATATGTATTACTTATTACTAAACCTCTTTCTACACGTAGCTTAATTAAAGGCTCCCCATTTTCATTTACCCCTGGCACCCCAAATTTACCTACTACTCCTTCCACAGCAGGATTCCAAACTACTACTGGGGACGGTCAAGATTCCCAAGCAGCGCTCTAGCCCACTCGGCCACACAAATGCCACATAGACTGGGTAACCTGGTTCACAAGCCATATTTCTTTCCCAGCCCGGGCACGTCAGTGAGCCTCAAGCATGGATTCAAGCTATTTCAATCTCCTCCTGTATGTTCTGACCTCTCAGGACTGGGCAGCCTCTCAGGCTGCCCAGTCTATGTGGCATTTGTGTGGCTGAGTGGGCTAGAGCGCTGCTTGGGAATCTTCACCGTCCCCAGTAGTAGTTTGGAATCCTGTTGACTGCGATCTTTCTTTATATATACCTGCTTGTTTCTGCATGGTGCTTTATATAATTTATATATATATATTATATATATATATATATATATATATATATATATATATATATATATATATATATATATATATAATATATATTTTTTGTGTGTGTGTGTGTGTGTGTGTATCACCTATTTGTACTCACCTATTTGTGGTTGCAGGGGTCGAGTCCTAGCTCCTGGCCCCGCCTCTTCACCGGTTGCTACTAGGCCTCTCTTCCCGCTCCATGAGCTTTATCAAACCTCGTCTTAAAACTGTGTATGGTTCCTGCCTCCACTACGTCATTTTCTAGGCTATTCCACTGCCTTACAACTCTATGACTGAAGAAATACTTCCTACTATCTCTCTGACTCATTTGTGTCTTCAACTTCCAATTGTGGCCTCTTGTTTCTGTGTCCCCTCCCTGGAACATCCTGTCTTTGTCCACCTTGTCTATTCCACGCAGTAAATTTTATATGTCGTTATCATGTCTCCCTGACCCTCCTGTCCTCCAGTGAGGTCAGGCCGATTTCCCTTAATCTTTCTTCATAGGACATTCCCTTAGCTCTGGAACTAACCTTGTCGCAAACCTTTGTACTTTCTCTAGTTTCCTGACGTGCTTTATCAAGTGCGGGTTCCAAACAGGTGCTGCATACTCCAGTATGGGCCTGACATACACGGTGTACAGTGTCTTGAATGATTCCTTACTAAGGTATCGGAATGCTGTTCTCAGGTTTGCCAGGCGCCCATATGCTGCAGCAGTTATCTGATTGATGTATGCTTCCGGAGACATGCTCGGTGTTATACTCACCCCAAGATCTTTCTCCTTGAGTGAGGTTTGCAGTCTTTGGCCACCTAGCCTATACTCTGTCTGTGGTCTTCTGTGCCCCTCCCCCATCTTCATGACTTTGCATTTGGCAGGATTAAATTCGAGAAGCCATTTGCTCTACCAGGTGTCCAGTCTGTCCAGGTCTCTTTGAAGTCCTGTCTGGTCCTCATCAGATTTAATTCTCCTCATTAACTTCACATCATCTGCAAACAGGGACACTTCTGAGTCTAACCCTTCCGTCATGTCGTTCACATATACCAAAAATAGCACTGGTCTAGGACCGACCCTGTGGGACCCCGCTCGTCACAGGTGCCCACTGTGATACATCATTACGTACCATGACTCGTTGTTGCCTCCCTGTCAGGTATTCTCTGATCCATTGCAGTGCCCTTCCTGTTATATGCGCCTGATGCTCTAGCTTCTGCACTAATCTCTTGTGAGGAACTGTGTCAAAGGCCTTCTTGCAGTCCAAGAAGATGCAATCAACCCACCCCTCTCTCTCGTGTCTTACTTCTGTTATTTTATCATAAAACTCCAAAAGGTTTGTGACACAGGATTTCCCTTCCGTGAACCCGTGCTGGTTGGCATTTATACTCCTGTTCCGTTCCAGGTGCTCCACCACTCTCCTCCTGATAATCTTCTCCATAATTTTGCATACTATACACGTCAATGACACAGGTCTATAGTTTAGTGCCTCTTTTCTGTCTCCTTTTTTAAAATGGGAACTACATTTGCCGTCTTCCATACTCAGGTAGTTGCCCAGTTTCCAGGGATGTGTTGAAGATTGTGGTAAGTGGCACGCACAACATATCTGCTCCCTCTCTAAGACCCACGGGGAGGTGTTGTCTGGTCCCATTCCCTTTGAGGTATCGATGTCCCTTAGCAGTTTCTTCACCTCCTCCTCATCTGTATGTATGTCGTCCAACACTTGCTGGTGTATTCCTTGCTGGTGCCCCCCATTGGTCTGTCCCCCCAGAGTCCTTCCTGTCTCTACTGTAAATATTTCCCTTAAATCTCGTGTTGAGCTCCTCACATACCTCTTGATCGTTTCTTGGGGAGTTCTCCACCTTCCTTCCTCAGCCTTATCACCTGGTCCTTGACTGTTGTCTTCCTCCTAATGTGGCTATACGCAGTTTCGGTCAGATTTGACTTTCGATGCTATGTCGTTTTCATACTGTCGCTGGGCCTCCCTCCTATCTGTGCATACTCGTTTCTGGCTCTTCTACTAATCTACTTGTTTTTCTGGGTCCTATGCCTCCTGTACTTTTCATTCTCTGTTGCACTTAGTTTTTGCCTCCCTACACCTTCGGGTAAACCAAGGACTCGTTTTGGTCTTCCTATTATTTCCGTTTCCTTGGGAACAAAAACTTTCCTCTGCCTCCTTGCACTTTGTTGCCCATATTCCATCATCTCGTTTACTGATTTTCTACCATTTCTCTGTCCCACTGAACCTCCTGCAGGAAGTTTCTCATACTGTGTAGTCCCCCCTTTTATAGTTTGGCCTGTCCCTTCAGTTCCTGTTCCTTCTCCACTTGTAACTCTACTATATAGTCAAAAAAACCCGAAACCACAAAGATCGCTAGCTCCAAGGGGCCCTCATAAGTGATGTCCTCAATGTCTGAACTGCTCAGGGTGAACACAAGATCCAGTCTTGCTGGCTCATCCTCCCCTCTCTCTCTGGGTTTTGTCCCTGACATGTTGATGCATGAGGTTTTCAAGTACCACATCCATCATCTTGGCTCTCCATGTTTCGGGACCCCCATGGGGGCTCCAGGTTTTCCCAGTCGATCTCCATGTGGTTGAAATCGCCCATTACCAGTAACTTTGCTCTGCTCGAGTGAGCTCTTCTTGCCCCCTCAGCCAGTGTGTCCCCCATCACCCTGTTGTTTCTTCGTACTCCTCTCTTGGCCCCCTGCAGTTCTGTGGTGGGTTATACATCACTCCAATGAAATACTTTATGTTTTCCGGACTGAATGTACCTACAATGTAGTCTCTTTCTCCAATCATGTCCATGCCCTTCCATTTCCTCAAATCCCCCTCGGTGTTTTATGGGGCAGTTTCAACCCCTCCTCCCCTCTTTCTCCTTCTATCTTTCCTCAGGATCTGATATCCTGTTGGGAAGATTGTGTTGTTATTGTCTCAGCGAGTTTTGTTTCTGTGACTGCTATGATGTCTGGGGATTTTTCACTGATTCTTTCATTCCACTCCTCATGTTTATTCATTATTCCATCCGCGTTTGTGTACCAAACCTTTAGTTTCTTTTCTATCATTGTGGTCATGCAAGAATATTGGGGTTGGGGGAGCGAGAGCCTTGGTGGGGGCCTATATGGGGCTGTGGTGTAGGTGGGGTTTGTGTTGATGGGGGTGGGGTCAGAATGCCCATAGGGACAGCTGTTGGGGTGAGGTTTGTGATATGGGGATTGGTGGCAGAGGGAACAGTGAGTGGGTTGTGAGTGAGTGAGTGGGTTGTGAGTGAGTGAGTGTGTGTGTGTGTGTGTGTGTGTGTGTGTGTGTGTGTGTGTGTGTGTGTGTGTGTGTGTGCGTGCGTGCATGCTCATAGAGTAGCATTCTGTTACGGTGTCACCCTGTGAGAGGTGATTATATCACAATGTAGTTTATAGCTTCGTCAATTATCTGGCAAGGAAAATGAAAGTTATGGAAGCCAAACATCTAATGTCGCTAAGTTTAATATGTTAAATACCCAAATATACGGAAAATCTGAATAAAGGGTTCACTCACAATCTGTCAGTTTTTAAGGAAAAAATCCCTCCTATCATAAATAAGATAAATTACCAATAGACCTCTGGTTGTCTTCAAGAGGAAACTAGACAAATTCTCAAGTTAGCCGCTGATCAGCCGGGTTGTGGTGCCTACACCAGACTGCGTACCAACAGTCTGGTTGATCCAGCCATCAACCAGTAGGCCTGGTCAGAGACAGGGACATGAGAGTGGTGTGACCTCTGGAATTGTCTCTGGGTAGTTTTCCTGTAGCTCATCAAAACACTTTTGTGTAAATTAGTGTTCACCAGTTTGATTAGTGCTGGGATTCGAACTGGTGACTTGGCAGCTGGCAACCCAGCGTTCCACTGATTTTACCAGAGAGGGTACCAGATTGAAGAGGGTATTAAGTCATTTTGATGGTATTCAGAGAGAGAGAGAGAGAGAGAAGAGAGAGAGGAGAGAGAGAGAGAGAGAGGAGAGAGAGAGGAGAGAGAGAGAGAGAGAGAGCAGAAAGGCAGGAGGAAGAAAACAAGAGAGTGGTGGTGGTGTAAGGTGTGATCCAGAAGACTAAGAGGGTCATGGTTACTCACCTTCCATCTTGAGACTGGAATGCAGCCTCGCCACTTCTGTCTTCAGCACCTGCACCTTGTCTGCTGACCTGCACACCTCCTGAGCCAGCCTGTGCATCTCTTCCTTGTCTGCTGACCTGCTCACCTCCTGGGGCAGCTTGTGCATTTCTTCCTTGTCTGCTGATCCACACGATTCCTGGGAAAGCCTGGCCACCTCTCTTCTCAAGACCTCTACTCTGTCTACTGGCCTGCACGACTCCTTACCCAACCTGGCCACTTCCACCTTGACTGCTGGTCTGCATGACTCATTATCCAGCCTGGCCACATCCACCTTGTCGTCTGGCCTGAGCGTCTCCTGCGGTAGCCGCTGCTGGGAAACTGCCAAGGCATTCTCTGATGCCATCGTCGTCAAGATCCAAAGTTATCAAAAACACAGTTCACACCAGATCAGATGTGCAGTCAGGATGACGGGAGAATTTTGTGGCTACTGAGAGTTAATCAAACTTTATATTTATTGTTATTATATAGGATATTCCTAAAATGTTCGATGATGTCCCAAGTGACAAATGCTCACGTACTGTTGCAAAAACTCTTGTAGTTGTTGCTGTTTCTAGGAACCATGTGGCGAGGGACGGACGTTAGGGCTAATGACGTAATTATAGAGGTGAGGACTACTCACGGAGTTATGGATAAGGTTAACAACTGTATAGGTAGTGTTAGAGCACAACCTAACGTTTATGCATGCACACACGTATGTAACAAATACTATGGAAGTGAAGCAGGTACACATAAAGGGGTGGGCACTGTCACCACTACTGGGACGGACTACAGTGATCTGGGAAGACTGATTACCTGGAGAGGCAAGAGGAAAACTTTACGATCCTCCTTAGCGTCAAGTTGTGTCAAGTGTTAACTTGCTGCAGTTACACACACAATAACGCATGATTATTCACTGCCAAATCTGCACGTGAGAGGAGTCAGTGTTATGTACTGCTTAATTCTTGAACTAGAGAATAATTTAACGTCACACGAAACCGCTTTTCATTCAATGTTCCTTTGGTTAATTTTTATATTAGTTACATTTAATTTACAACATGAGCTAATATTTCTAAAACATGAAGTAACAGCTGCTCATCTCTTAAGATGTGAGCATGCAGAAGAGTTTACAGCACTGGTCAATAGAAGAGAGTCTGGCTTTAGGTTAACGTTGCAGAGGAGCCCAGATATCACAGCTTTCCCTTCAGAAAGGACACTGCGCGTGTACAGTCCGCTACAAACGTACCCAAGATATCTAGGCCACCCGGCTTCGATCCTCTACTGCGGGATTCTGCGTGCACATACATGCACGCACGTATGTACACACTAGACACGAGGCAGCCACCGCGTGGTGCTAAGTACCAGACTCTTAATAACGCCTGTTACTTGTGTGGACAATGTTCGACACAATTAACATTGAAGTGTATGTGTACTCCTGAATGTGGTGAGCAAGACCTGATTCAACTCACCACCTCTCGCGTTCAAAGACTTACTTGGTTCGTTCTTGAAAACCAACTTTTTTCGTCGCCACCTCCTGAACCATATCCTCGCTACGACGAACTTAAGACGTGCACAAGATGACCTTACTAATAGGTATGAGACGGTGCGTTGGACTGGTGAGCGGGCCGTGCAGGTGTCGAGGAAACCAGGTCAATTCCAAACACAGGAGGCACGACTAGGTGGGGGAAACCTGGCACTGCCCTGGCACCACACCTGATGAGCGGAAGGTTGCAGACTGGAAGACCTCAGCAAGCCGGACTAGGAGAGGGATGAGCCCGGCGCTGATGTGCTGGCGGCTCACCAGCGGTGAAGTGAGGTACCTCAGAAGATGTGAAGGTGGCGTCCACGGTGTGTGTGTGTGGGGAGGGGAGAGTGTTTCAGACGCCAGACACCAGTGTGGAGAGTCAGTAGCGGTGGTGGCGGCGGCGCTCAAGTTGCTTCCCGCAGTGGCATCTGCAAAGAGAGGAACCCACGATCAATATGTCGTACCTCACGTGTTTTCATCCAGCCCTCACACGCCTTCATCACCACTACCCACGCCCTAACCACCCACGTTCTCACCAGCACAACGCATGTCCTCACACCAATCCCGCCCTAACACCACTACCTAGGCCCTGAACTTCCGCCGACGCCCTCGTGTCAGGGCTGCCTCTTGTTTAGTGTACCTTACTGTTAAATAGCAACCGTTGTGTATAGCCTTGTGTCACTCATATAACTATCCATGATCTCGCACTATAAAGCCTCGCCCTTAATACCGTCACTCACGCCCTCACCATCACTAACCACGCCACCACACCACTACCACCCCTTCTCTCACCACGCCCTAACTACCACCTTGACAAGACAAACCGAGCAATCATTCCCGCTGCTCTGTAATTACCAGAGACACGTGAGATGACGCGACAATCACAGCTCTTTGACACGCTGCCACTCTTCTACCTATAATAAGCACCAGTCCAGATGAAATCCTTGAACTATATAGGAAGAACTTCTCTTATGGAAGCCATAAATTTATTACTTAAACCCACTAATTTATGACGCTCACTACCTAAGTACCTTAACCACCTGCCTTATGAGCTAAACCCACTACTGTACGACCTAAATCCACTACGTTAACACTTAAACACATCACTATTAAATTAAACCTGCACTGCATATTATTATTATTATTATAATCAAGGGGGAAGCGCTAAACCCGGAGGATTATACAGCGCCTGGGGGGGGGATGTGGAAGGCATTCAGGCTTAATTCGGGGAACTGGAGCACAGATCCAATTCCCTAAATCAAGAGCCCCTCACCAACATCAAGGAACCTTCCTTGAGGGGCCTGCACTGCATAATTACACTACAATGCACACAAGCTGGTTCTCCAATTTGCAAATCCTTATCTACCCCACATCATTGCATTTTTATCTCGGGTATACACGTGATTTTCTGGTATATGTTGACTCACCTATATGTGGTTGCAGAGGTTGAGTCATAGCTCTTGGCCCCGCCTCTTCACTGATTGCTACTAGGTCCTCTCTCCCTGCTCCATGGTTACATCAAACCTCGTCTTAAAACTATGTATGGTTCCTGCCTCAACTACGTCACTTCCTGACAACATTGTGTGTGTGTGTTGTGTACTCACTCCTATCCAATTAAAACCAAACTAGTCCACGGCCGTATCATTGCTACCTCCGTCGGCACTAAACCGCTGTTCAACAGCAACAACAGTAATAACAATTTTATAGTCATAATCACAAAAAAACTGATCGTATGTAACTTCTTAATGTCGCTGCCATAGTCTAGCTGTATTAATATTGACAGAATTACTGACAATGTGTTAGGTAAAAGGACACAAGTGCAACTAATGTGACATTTTATTGTGGCAACGTTTCGCTCTCCAGGAGCGAAACGTTGCCATGCACACGTGCACGCGCACACACACAGGTTAGTTCCAGAGCTATGGGGAATGTCCTATAAAGAAAGGTTAAGGAAAATCGGCCTGACGACGCTGGAGGACAGGAGGGTCAGGGGAGACATGATAACGACATATAAAATACTGCAGATGAGTCAAAGGGATGTTAGGAAGTATTTCTTCAGTCATAGAGTTGTCAGGCAGCATAATAGCCTAGAAAGTGACGTAGTGGAGGCGGGAACCATACATAGTTTTAAGACGAGGTTTGATAAAGCTCATGGGGCAGGGAGAGAGAGGACCCAGTAGCAGTCAATGAAGAGGCGGAGCCAGGAGCTATAAATCGACCCCTGCAACCATAATAGGTGAGTACACGCACACGCACGCACACGCACGCACACGCATGCGCGCACACACACACGCGCACACACGCGCGCACACACACACACACACACACACACACACACACACACACACACACACACACACACACACACACACACACACACACACACACACACACAGGCACTAAACTACAGACCTGTGTCTCTGACATGTATTGTGTGCAAAGTCATGGAGAAGATTATCAGGAGAGTGGTGGAACACCTGGAAAGGAACAAGATTATAAATGAAAACCAGCATGGGTTCATGGAAGGCAAATCCTGTATCACAAACCTCCTGGGGTTTTATGACAAGGTAACAGAAGTAAGACACGAGAGAGAGGGGTGGGTAGATTGCGTTTTCCTAGACTGCAGGAAGGCCTTTGACACAGTTCCCCACAAGAGATTAGTGCAGAAGCTGGAGGATCAGGCGCATGTAAAAGGGAGGGCACTGCAATGGATAAGGGAATATCTGACAGGGAGGCAGCAACGAGTCATGGTACGTGAAGAGGGATCACAGTGGGCGCCTGTTACGAGCGGGGTCCCACAGGGGTCAGTTCTAGGACCAGTGCTATTTTTCATATATGTGAACGACATGATGGAAGGAATAGACTCTGAAGTGTCCCTGTTCGCAGATGATGTGAAGTTGATGAGAAGAATTAAATCGGACGAGGATGAGGCAGGACTGCAAAGAGACCTGGAGAGGCTGGACATGTGGTCCAGTAACTGGCTTCTCGAATTCAATCCAGCCAAATGCAAAGTCATGAAGATTGGGGAGGGGCAAAGAAGACCGCAGACAGAGTATAGGCTAGGTGGACAAAGACTACAGACCTCACTCAGGGAGAAAGACCTTGGGGTGACCATAACGTCAATATGAAAACGACATAGCAGCAAAAGCCAAATCTGACCCGAAGCTGTTATACAGCCACATCAGGAAGAAAACAACCGTTAAGGACCAGGTAATCAGGCTAAGGAAGGAAGGAAGGAGGAGAGACAACAAGAAATGACCGTGAAGTATGTGAGGAACTCAACAAGAGATTCAAAGAAGTGTTCACAGAGGAGACAGAAGGGGCTCCAGAAAGACGGAGAGGTGGGGTACACCACCATGTGCTGGACATAGTACACACAACAGAGGAAGAAGTGAAGAGGCTTCTGAGTTAGCTAGATACCTCAAAGGCAATGGGGCCAGATAACATCTCTCCATGGGTCCTGAGAGAGGGAGCAGAGGCGCTATGTGTACCCCTAACAACAATATTCAATACATCTATTGAAACAGGGAGATTGCCTGAGGCATGGAAGAAAGCAAATGTGGTCCCAATCTTTAAAAAAGGAGACAGACATGAAGCACTAAACTACAGACCAGTGTCACTGACATGTATAGCATGCAAAATCATGGAAAAGATTGTCAGGAGAAGAATGGTGGAACATCTAGAAAGGAATGATCTCATCAACAGCAGGCAACATGGTTTCAGAGACGGGAAATCCTGTGTCACAAACCTACTAGAGTTCTATGACATGGTGACAGCAGTAAGACAAGAGAGAGAGGGTTGGGTGGATTGCATTTTCTTGGACTGCAAGAAGGCGTTTGACACAGTACCACACAAGAGATTAGTGCAAAAACTGGAGGACCAAGCAGGGATAACAGGGAAGTCACTGCAATGGATCAGGGAATACTTGTCAGGAAGACAGCAGCGAGTAATGGTACGTGGTGAGGTGTCAGAGTGGGCACCTGTGACCAGCGGGGTCCCACAGGGGTCAGTCCTAGGACCAGTGCTGTTTCTGGTATTTGTGAACGACATGACGGAAGGAATAAACTCCGAGGTGTCCCTGTTTGCAGATGACGTGAAGTTGATGAGAAGAGTTCAGTCGATCGAAGACCAGGTAGAACTACAAAGGGATCTGGTTAGGCTGCAGACCTGGTCCAGCAACTGGCTCCTGGAGTTCAATCCCACCAAGTGCAAAGTCATGAGGATTGGGGAAGGGCAAAGAAGACCGCAGACGGAGTACAGTCTAGGGGGCCGGAGACTACAAACATCACTCAAGGAAAAAGATCTTGGGGTGAGTATAACACCAGGCACATCTCCTGAAGCGCACATCAACCAAATAACTGCTGCAGCATATGGGCGCCTAGCAAACCTCAGAACAGCATTCCGACATCTTAATAAGGAATCGTTCAGGACCCTGTACACTGTGTACGTTCGGCCCATATTGGAGTATGCGGCACCAGTTTGGAACCCACACCTAGCCAAGCATGTAAAGAAACTAGAGAAAGTGCAAAGGTTTGCAACAAGACTAGTCCCAGAGTTAAGAGGTATGTCCTATGATGAGAGGTTAAGGGAAATCAACATGACGACACTGGAGGACAGGAGAGATAGGGAAGACATGATAACGACTTACAAAATACGAGAGGAATTGACAAGGTGGAAAAAGGGACAGGATGTTCCAGAGACGGGACACAGCAACACGGGGACACAGTTGGAAGCTGAAGACACAGATGAATCAAAGGGATGTTAGGAAGTATTTCTTCAGCCACAGAGTAGTCAGGAAGTGGAATAGTTTGGGAAGCGATGTAGTGGAGGCAGGATCCATACATAGCTTTAAGCAGAGGTACGATAAAGCTCATGGTTCAGGGAGAGTGACCTAGTAGTGACCAGTGAAGAGGCGGGGCCAGGAGCTTGGACTCGACCCCTGCAACCTCAACTAGGTGAGAACTAGGTGAGTACACACACACACACACACACACACACACACACACACTATACAACAGGCCTAGTGTCTAATCGACATGTGCCTAGGACAAAATGGTAACTAACACACACGCACACGCACACACACACACACACATGGCAAGCTAAACACAAAAGACAGTATACGAAGAACATAACTTTCTTTAACTACACATAGGCAATGAACTAAATTATATACAGAGATGGTACTTATTTTGAAAAATATCAAGATCACACACAGAGGTGGTGGGAAAGCAGATTACCAAAAGTTTTACAACAAACCACCACCCCATATACATACACAAAGCTATCATGGGTTACCAATAGCCATGTTCAACGCAATCGTGAGATTCCTTAAGACCTATCGCCAACCACAGCCCCATGAACAACGCTATCATGGGGCTGCTTGTACTGACCTATGTCTTACAACGCTATCATGGGGCTGCTTGCA